GGACACTTCTGTCTAGGTTTGCTGTCTTCTTGGCCACTGAAGCTCTTTGGGGCTGAATGTTTTCTCTAGCACCAATATCAAACCATCACAGACTGCAGCAGCTTGCAGGAGCCCTCCTGCAGGAAAAACCTGCATTCCTGCTGACTGGGATGCCCCTGCTTCTGGCTGCAGGCACCTGGATTGGCTCCTGACTCTTGGGTGGGATCTAGCTCTGCTCCTGTGCTTCTTTATTTCCCTTGGGCCAGCAGCAATGGGACCTTGTTTCTAAGAAAGTATACCTTGTTTCTAAGGACCTTTTGGTCAGAGCCTGTTTAGCTGAGTCCTGAATCAGTGTGGGTGGGCATCGTTCAGAGGTGTGGTCAGAGGAAGGAATAATGCATTGCATTTTTATAAACTACCACAAGAGTAAAGAAGGATGGGTAGGGACCTAGGCAAGAGTTTGAACATGATATCAAAGTCATGCTACCTTGTGAGTAATGATGCATTACAAATGATTTTCATTCTTGACAACACTTTCTGTCTGGCTAGTTTACTGCACTATTATTTTCCTTTTTCTTACTAAGTGTTTCTAAATGACTGTTTTATTAAGTTGTCACATGTATCTTTAATTCTTCACCGATCCCTTTTCCTGTTACCAGCTTGTGATTTTGACCATCAGGGAACTGATTGAAATAGTAAGGGACACCCACTTGGGCTGTATGTGTTTGGGTTTGGGGTGGCTCTTGACTCTGGGGCAGGGTAGAGGGATAGGGTGCTGGGGGCCACTTCTTCCCAGGTAGGAGGAGCTGAACACAAGATCCTCCTCCTCCACAGCATCCCAAGAGGGCCCTGCGTATGATGAAGACTTTCCTACTTTCTGAGGGCTTCCTGCGGCCTGCTGAAGCAGGTTTTTATGAGACTACGTTAGGAGCTTTCTAACTGAAAAACAGAATTGCTATTGAAAGGGATTATATGTGGAAGGAGATAAAGTAATAATCCCACTAGTTTCTTGGGTATGTTTGTTGGCAGTGTTTGCTGTTGTATTGGGATTAAGTGCAATTTAATGCAGGACTGTCTTATTAAGTATATGAATTTCTGAATCATTGAATTTTATAGCTTCATAGGTAAATGAGGCTGTTATTCCTATCTGGTGAGATGGCCTTTGAGAGGAGCTAAGTAATTACAGAAAACAACAACATTTACCTGGTGTGCACCGCCTTGTATGTCCTCATTTTGTCATCCTGGCATCCCTGTGATAGAGGAACCATTGTTAGTTCTATTTTCCAGAGGAAGTTGAGGACTACAGTGCTTCACTAACTTGTCCATGTCCCTGTAGCTTCTGCACTGGGGCCCAGACAGTCTGCTCCAAAGGTTTTGCCTTCAGCCTTTGTTGCTGCTTTTCAGGTAGATGTAGGGCAATAATTGTCACTGAGAGGGTTAGTGGACAAAAGGGTGGGAGAGAGTGGTTTTCTTTTTTTTCTCATTGAGTTTATTGGTACATTTTAGGTATACAGTATAGTTAAAATTTGTCACTGGGATCTTGTACCTTTACATGACAGATCTTGGTTCTCATTTTTTCCCCTTATCCCTGCCTTCCTTCACCCGCTCCTCTCTTCCCTATGAAAGAGTGGTTTTCATATGGAATAGAAAACATTATATTTAGATATAATGGGAAAATAATTTATAGGATGTTGGTTGGTGGTGAAAGAGGTTGAATAATTAAGCATTTGTTTAAAATTTTGGGAGTGAGCTGGGTGTGGTGGCATGTGACTGTAATCCCAGCACTTGGGAGGCTGAGGCAGGAGAATTGCTATGAGTGCGAGGCCAACCTGGGCCACATAGTGAGTTTAAGACTGGCCTAAACTACATAGCAAGACCATGTCTCAACACAAAACAAAACAATTGGGGGATGAAGTCCGGCATGATGGTACTCGCCCATAGTCCTACCAGTCTGGGAGGTTGAGGCAGGAGGATCACAAGTTTAAGTCCAGCCTGGGCAACTCAGTGACTTAGAGCCTATCTCAAAATTCAAAGCAAAAAGGGATAGGGATGCTGCTCAACGTGAAGGCTTTGGGTTTAACCCTCAGCACTAAAGAAAAAAATGGAAATGACTCCCAGCACTAGGCATCAGCCACTTGCTTCCCTGTGGTTAATGTGACATGCTTCGAGTTTTGTGGTGGTACTAGGGCAACATACTGGCATTTCATCCAGACTGAGAGCCCAGGGACAGCCTGGACGTGTCCCCTCCCTGGCCACCCAAAGGTGTGGGAACTGCCTGTCTACTGCCTCCCTGCCCTTCTTTCCTCTGGATTCTTTCTAGGGCTTCTCCCTCCTGCTCCTTTTCCTCTGGCTGTCCTTCTCATCCCCAAGGGAATGATTTATTTAGCTTCAATTCTTGCTCTCATCTCTGGTGTTGATTTGTTCCTATTTACCTCTGAGCCCTTGGTGTGGCTCTGGGTTTGACTCAGAAGCCCCAGCCAGCTGGCTGTGTCCCTAGGGCAGGTCCTGAGCTCCTGACCCTGGAGATTCTTTCTCTTGAGATAACCTGACCCATGTGAGATAAATTGACCCAGATGTGTGGCCTTGTGTTCTTGCCTTCCTGCATGGCTGTCCTTTCCCTGCCTTGAGCCAATGTGGGCTTTAGCCACATGGCCTTAGCGATGCTTGTTTATTCCCTGGTGCACCCTTGATTGCCTTGGGTCTTCTTTGCTCAGTATTTCTTAGCACTTGGCACAGTGCTTGTTGGCACAGCTGGGAGCACAAGAAATGAATGAATGGGCCAAAAGGGTCTGTAAAGGAAGTTTGTGGTTATAGTCCCCCACTCCAGCAAAGCCTTCCTTTCCATCTTTATGTTTCTAGAAGTTAGCTTTGCTAAAAATCTTGATACTTTCTTGAGTTCCTTTTTGTAGGGTGCTAAATTCCATTGCCTGTGGTTGCCTTCCCCAAGACTTATGCTTAACCTTGTAAATATTCTTCTGAAGAGTTTTTGGAGAAGCAGACAACCAAGAAATGATTTTGGATTTTGAAGTAGTGACATGAAACAACGACATTTATTCTCTTTCTTTGCTTAACACAAAGATGTTGAGCTCCTTCTCGGTACCAAACTCCGTTCCTGAGCTGGAGATGCTGGTATGAATGAAGCAGACTGGGATGCTGCCTTCCCGTAGTTTATTCTCTGGTGGGGGTGCCAAGAAGGAGGAAAGACATGAATAAACAGGGTGTTTTGGTCAGTTTAGTGCTGTAGGGGAGTGGTGTGAGGGCCAGGACCACAGGGAGTCCTCAGACTTGTAGGTAAACGGAGCATGCTTCTATGCCAACCTGCTCCATGCTGTGTGGTGTTGCCTTGAATGTTTGTGAGGTGCTGGGGATCAGACCCAGGGCCTGCAGCATGCTGCAGCCACACCTCCAGCCAGTGAGTGCTTTCAGCTCAGCACCATCAGTGCCTCACCCTCGAGAAGGTATTGGGTGGCTTCGGGGAGGGTGACTGTCACCTGGACTCTTGGCTTCTGAGAGTACCTCAGTCTACAGGGCACCTCCTCAACATTCTTGATGTATAGTTGTTTAGTGGCTGGATTTTGAGTGTCTTGGGGGCACTGAGGAGAGGGCTTAAAGTGGATGGGTAGGAGCTGGCTGGGCTTGGTATGTTTCAGGCAGACAAAAATTAGCAGCAGGTGGAATAGCAGTTTGCACTGGAGTTAAATGTACAAAACTCTTGGAACTGCCGAAGTCTGCATAAGGCCCCCAAGGAAACCTTGGCAGGAAGGTGTAGGGCATAAGAATAGATATTTGTGCTGTTGAGGATGTAGATTCATTGTTACCTGCTTTTTTTACACAGGTAGATTTGTTGGTTATCAGGAATTTCTACAGCTCTATGGTCAGTTTTATTTTGGTATAGTAAATATAATGTGAAATTGGTGGCTCATAATAACTTCAAATAATTTCTGTGTATTATTTCACAACTAGGCAGATTATTGCATGATAGGCCCTTTTATGGTAAGCAAAGGAAAGTGATATTTTCAATTCATCTGTGTTACAGAATTTGAACATAATCGCTTCTCGTCTTTTGGCTAAGATCAAGTGTAGAATTTGAACATAGTAATGGGTATGCTCACATATATTCACTGTTTTAGAACTATGAAAGCAGTTTATATCATTTTGTTACAGATTGAAAAGCAACATATTTTTTGAGTATCCCTTTTAGAATTTTAAGAAAGCTGCTTTTCAATTTTCCTTCCGTGACTAGTATATTTTTCCAAAGCATTGACTCTTACATTAGAACCGTGTAAATGGCACAGTCAAATGTGTTAGCTGAGAAAATGTACAAAAGTATGTTGACAATGGAAGCTACTCTGATTCCTGGAATTTTGAGGTTTGCCTGAGCTGACCAGGGCCTGGGAAGAAGGTGTGTTGCTGCTCACCTAGTGGCATTGGTGCGGGCCCAGGTTTCCTGAACCACTAGCCAGTCTTCTCGGAGTCCTTGGTCTCAGCAAAACTGGTGCAACAGGGAGAACTCTAGGAACCCATGGCAGGCCTCCTTTTGTCCCAGCAGGAGTAGGGACACATCACCTAAAGCTGGAGGAAAGGACCCATATGGGCCCAGTTGGACATGGCTGGGTAGGTGTGGTGGAGAGCACATGTGGCCATTTGATCTGGTGTCTCTTTTCTTACCCAGGGAGTTGTGTTAGAGAGATTGGTCCATGGAAGACCTCTGCAGCTGCTTTCCAGGGTTACAGACTCTTCACTCTGCAAGGCTCATGTCAAAATTATCTCCTCCGTGAGCCCCTGGCCCCCCCCCAGTGCTCTTGTCCTCAGCTTCTTGGCTGGACTGTGGGTACTGCACCTCCTGCTTGGGCCTGTGTGTGTGTGGTACCTCAGATGCAGTCCAGAATTCTTAGGGAGGGCAAACGAAGGGGAGTACAGTTTGGTTTAGTTTTATCTTATAAGATGATATTTTCTTTACTTTCTGAAAAGATTGCCTCTGAATTATGATAATTGTATAAATGGAAACTTTTTCTTTTCAGATAATGTGGATGCAAGTGATCTTAAGCCATTTTTTGAGACCCACTATTCTCAGATATATTTCATCTTCTATGAAAATTTTATAACACTGGAAAATAGTTTAAAATTAAAAGGTAAGCATTTCTATAATTAAAAAAACATTCGGGTCATTTTAGAAGTTATATGCATCACAAATCACAGATGTTACACTTTTCAGCCTGCTTTCTTGCAGGCCTTTAGCAAAGCTGATGTTGCAGTGGACTGTGTGACTTGTCTCCCCTTAGCTTTCGTTGTATAGGTATTAACTGAATAACTAATGGCTAATGGGAAAATGGGAGACTGCAGAAGGCATAAATTCCAGGGGAATGATTTACTTAAAAAGAAAGAGAAAAGCAATCAGTGCATACTATTAAAAAGTTCAGGGGCTGGGGATTTAGCTCAGTGGTTCCACCACCTGCCTCACAGCTCAAGGTGCCGAGTTCGATCCCCAGTACCAGAAACAAAAACAAAAACAAAAAGTTCAAGTTCCATGAACACATTAAGGACAGGGCCATATGTCTCACTGCTGAGTGGCTGTAGATCACTGGTGGTACAGGCAGGTCTGTCCCATTAGGTGGCATGGGGCAGTCCCATGGGTGGCACAAGATGCCTGATGGGGCAGTCATGCAAGTCCCACTGGTGGTTCAAGCCCTCAAGACTGTGTTAAAGGAGCTGAGAACTGAAATATTTGCTCTGCCCAGAACTCAGTTCTGCTTTGAAAAGGCAGCCACTGTGAAAGAGCTCCTTCATTTTCCTTCTCTATGTGTTATTAATGTATTCTGTTTGTGTATGTTCATGGTGGTGCCCATATATAAAATATTCTTTGAAAAACAAACTGACCATCTCACAGTACAGTTATTTGGTATTTGGGTATTTGGGTGGCAGGACAGTGAATTGGAGCCAGAGCAACCCCACTAGTTGCACTGTTTCTCCTGGGGCAGGTTACTTCTCTTTGAGCTGGCTTCCTCCCATCAGCAGTGAACAAGTTAGTAGGAATCCTAGGATTTCAGGACAGTAAGTGCTAGCTGCCAGTACCATGTTCATCTTTCATTTTCATGTAATCTGTTTGGGAAATTACTTTAGTTAGGAAAAATAAACCAAAATGTGTTCTTCCTTTCTCACACCACTCAGCCCACATTCTGACAGCACATTCTCCAGTGGAGACTAGCTGGGTGCTTGCTAATTCATTTCAGTTCTGACATGGATATCTGGGTGTTGTGTCAGACCCTGTAGGTTCAGGGTTATTGCCACAAGGCTGCCCTCACTTCAGATCCCTCAACAAGCTCTGTTGTACGTGCCTGTAACCTAAGGACTATAACAAGGTTTCCTTCAACCCCCTCCTTGGTTTGATTAATTTGCTGGAGCAGGTTGCTTGTTTACTCATTTATTACAAAATCCCCTGTATTACAGTGGATATTTAAAGGTTGCAAAGGAACAGCTAGGTAAAGAGATGCTAGGTGAGATCTGGAAAGGTCCAGAGTGCAGGCGCTTCCTTCCTCCGAGTTGGGGTGTGTCACCCTCTAGGGACATAGATATATTCCTAGTCACAGTCCTGCAAGCTCCCAGTCCCATCCTTTTGGGTTTTATGGAGGCTCATTACACACACATGACTGATCACATTATTGGTCAGCCTTCACCCCACTTCTCTTCCAGGAGGTGGTACAGGTGGAAGAGAAGTACACATTTGCTGTTTTCATAGGGGCCAGCAAGTCACAGGGCACCCCAGATTCAAGGGACAGAGAAAGAAACATCTCTTGATGGGAGAAGGAAGACAATAAAGATACCATAAAAACAGGGTGCAGCTTTTGAGGTTTCTTGCTTTTAATGTAATCTTTGTTTGATTGGAATACAGGGAAGAAAGCTTACCCCCCCCCCAAAAGATTAAGATGTGTGCTAGGAGTAATTAATTATTTTGTGATAACTCCAACCTTCCACTTAGTAACCTCAGACTCTGGAGTATTGGCTCTGTCTTCACAGTGCACCCAGAGCACTGGGTCCTCTCATTGTCTACACTGACCACACTGGGGCTCCCCTGCTTCTCCCCTGGACTGCCTCAGTGGCCACAGGAAGAGCCTTCCCCTCTCTTCCATACTTGAACCTTTCCCTGCTCATTTTCAGAAGAGTAAGTGGAGTCATGCTTTAAAAATGTCAGTCAAATTGTTATTCCTCGGCTCTAAATCCTAAATAACTTCACATTCTCAAAGTCCTTACAGGGACTTTCACCTCTTCTGTTGCTCCACCTATGTTCTATTCTTCCTTCTGCTGCAGTCTCATCCTTCACTCCAGCCTCAAGGGCTTCTGCCTGTTTCCTGGTCCTGAAAAGCGTGCTCAGCTACTGGGACTTGGTACCCTCCGGTTTCTCTGCCTACAGCATTCTCCCTGAAGTCTCCATATGGCTTGCTTCCTGGTCCCCAGTTTCCCTATGTTCGACTTTCTTACCTCTTTTAGATCTTTACTCACTTGCTACCTTACCAGCAAGGCATCCCTGACTTCCCTAGTCAGAAATGCACACCAGCTGTTTTTGGCTTCCCCATCTGCTTTCACCCTTGGTTTTTCTTACTTATTAATTTATACAAAATCTCGTTCTGCCACAATGGAATCTTCCTCAGGGCAGGGATTGTTGTCTCTTTTGTTCATTCCTATATCCTCAGGGCCTAGAAGACTCTTGAAATACGGACATTCTTTAGTGTTTTTTTAGTGAATGAATGAAACCTACTTTGTAGAGCTGTGGGGATTCAGTTAGATCAGGGGCCTGCAACTTACAGCTTACTCTGTTTTATAAAGTTTCATTGACATAGCCATTCACCTGTGTATTGCCTTTTACTGCTTCCTATAATGACATAGTTGAGTTGTTCTAAGAGAGGCTGCATGCCTAAAATATTTCCTATCTGTCCCTGTGTAGGAGAAGTTTGTTGATTCCTAAATTTGATGATCTAAGCCATACATTTACTGGAATGCCTAGTAGACAATAAATGTAACTGCTGCTGGAGATGTAGTTGGTGGTGATGATGATGATATGCAGTTGGCCAGTGACTGCTTTTTGTAGATATTACTTGCTGTATGCCTGTTTGTATTACCAAGCTAGAACTCTTATCTTTGTTTTTGCTGGGTATTCTACCATAGTTTGATGAGGTAAGTAACTAGTCAATAAATGAGATTACCTGTGGAGGGCTGACCATGTCTTGGGAACATAGAAGCTGTTTTTGCACAGTTCTGCTGCATGTGCACCTGTCTGGCTAGTCCTGGTTGTCTGTACTCCTAGCGGTGCCCCATGCTGCCTCTAGGTGTTTCTGAGTAAATGGATGTATGTATGAGGCTTAAATGTTAAAAGATGCCTTTTAGCATAATTTATAATATCCTAATGTTTAAATGTTGTAACTCTTTTTTTTTTTAATATTCCAGGGAATAATAAATCACAAAGGGAGGAGCTGGACTCTATTCTCTTTCTTTTTGAAGTAAGTTTTGGTTAATTCTTTTAGCTTTCATGATTCTTATACAAAATAAGGTATTTTGGGTATTTAAATTCACTTAAAGACAAATAAACATGGTTGTAAATTAACATGTTCTCCCTACTTTCCTTCCCATTTCTGCCCTTCTTTACCTTCTTTTCTCTTCTACAAATTTTTCCTGCCTGGGTATCTTGCTGTGAGGTTTGTTGGATAGAAGAGTCTGTTCATTTTAAATAGTAGTGATATTGCTAAATTTCTCTCCATAAAGTTATGTAAACTTGTAAGTCTTACATAAATTTTCTGTACCCTAACACTTCAGATGACTTGTATTTTTAATATGTGTAGACCTCTTGATATGCAAAAACTCATTTTAAAGAAATTTTTGTGGTTTTTCCAACTGCTGGTGAGGTCATGACCTATGCGTGTGTGTGTGTGTGTGTGTGTGTGTGTGTGTGTGTGTATGTATACATGTATCTGTGTGTTGATCACATATTCCCTTTATAGCAGTGGCTGTGTCTGTTGATCTATTAAGCTGAAAGTCTTTTTTGCCCAAATGCATTAGACATCAGGTATCAGGTTATGGATATTTGGAGAGTTACACTCAGAACTGAGTTATAAATTCTGAAAGCTAATTGTTGATTGTTGAGGAGGTATGTGTGGTCTGTAGTTTTATGTGTGCTCAGGTAGTCATGAGAGGATAGACTGTTGTGACTGTGAAGGATGAACTGAGCATGTACTTGCTGCTGAGGTGGCTGGGGTTAGGGTAAGGGCCTGTCCGGTTCACCGAGTAGAGAAAGCCATGAAAGCATCAAGCCCAGGATCTGGTTTATGGCTGGCACACACTGACTGTGGTTTCCTCTCTCTCCTCTGAGGCTGTGCTCCTTCCCCTGAGTGACTGACAGTGGTGGTTCATGGCCTATTTTGTGGTGACTGTTGTGTTTCCTATGGTTTCATTCCATGAATGATACTTGGGCAGGAGAGTTGTTTTAAAAACAGAAGCTTTAATTCTGTCACTTAGATATCAGTTTCCTGACTATCACATGTTTGAACTATTTTGTGTACTTTAATTATTGCTTTTCTGTGATGGGGGAAAGATTTGCTAAAGCGTCTATAACGTCTGTGCAAATTATGGAGCATGGGGGAAACATGTGCTCCTGATACCCCTCCCACTTTGAGGACTGGAAGCTACTTAGATCTTCTCCACCTGATCATCTTGTTTCCTCAAAGCAGGAGACATGTCATGTCACACAGGGCCACCCAGTCAAGAACCAAGCAGAAAGGCAGAGAGAGGAACCTGGGACAGAAGCCTTCATCGTATTTTTTGAAGGAGGAAATGAGGAAGGCAAGGTAAACTAAGCAGGTTTAAGGTTGAACAGTTGAGTAATTTCAGCAAACTGGGCTATAGGGGAGCCCTTGCTTGTCTAGTATCTGGCACCTGTGTGACTAGGGCAGGGGAGGGTGCCTCATAAAAGATGGTAGTGAGGGTTACAGACTTGGAATTAGTTGGCTCGCATATCAAAAGCACACTGCTTACACATCTTAATTGTGCCCAGGTCAGTGAGAGCTCAGGTGTTAGAGCATTGAGGGTTCAGGAAATAAAACTGTATGATGAATACAGTCATCTGCCATGGTGGCTATTGCATGGCATCCTCTGAGTAGAGAAATGAAATAGTTTGGAGATTTGCCTGTATGGTTATAAAGTCTCTAGAATTGATAGCCGGGGATTTCCTTAACCTCATACCTGGTTAAAATACACAGGAAGTTTAACCTCAAACTTCCATGTGTTCTGGAATTCTGCTCATGCGGCTGTTTTTCAAATGTCCCAGTTAGAAGTCATGTATAAACAGGATTTTTGATTTCTAGATTCCTTATTTTAAATTTTATTTAAGTTATCCCACTAGATCAAACCCTGTTTTTAACTTGTCCTTCCTGGAAACCTGGATGAGCTCTTCGTAAGCTGTGAAATGGGCCAAGCTGGTGTGATATGCAGCTTCTCCCCGTCCTAGTCACTTTGGTGTGTCCTTTCTTTGTCAGGCTCAGGCTGCTTTCCTCCTTCACCCCTCTTGCAGAGTTTCATTCTGGCCCTTGGTTTATGCAACTGTCTTTTTGGGGACTGCCCTTTGCTCTCTTTCCCATCTGGCCTGATTTTTCAGGCTCTGTTGAATTTACTTCTTCTGGTCCTTCCTGCTAGAGGTGCTCATTCTTCTTGTTAACTCATGTAATGATGCTTTCATGCATGACTACTGATGGTAGCTGGGTGTTCTTGTTATCCCTTAATGTGACTGTCTTAGTTTCTTTTTTTTCCCCCTGTTAAGTTTATTGGTACATTTAAAGCAAACAATACAGTTACATTTATCATTGGGATCTTGTACCTTTGCATGATATATGTCTTGGTTCTTATTTGACTGTCTTAGTTTCTTAAAGAGACTGTAAAGTCCCCAAGGCCAGCAACCATTATGTAGAGTCCTCTGTGTACCCCACAGCAGTTTTCATTTGTTAATCTTTATTGTTGGATTAAAGGCTCTTACATTTTATGCTCCTCTCCCATGGAGTCATTTGGGAGTTTTGCTGTAAATACATCTCACCTAGAATGGCCTAGATTAAAGTGATAGGAACAGCTGTGGGAAGAACTGGCCAGGTACAGACCAGGCACTGACAGTGTCAAATCTTCAGCCTGGATGAGGCACGCGACCTTTGTTTATCTTGGTGCTTGTGTCTCTGAAGTGAGGGAGTTGGATAGGATAAGCTTTGGGGTTTCTTCCAGGTCTAAAAGCCTGTATTACTACAACTGTGGTCTTGTTTGAAGACTCCAAATAGAAAATCTTCACAGTGAAACCTTCACAAGGGAAGTATATTTTAGCTTAAAATTTAGTTTTATACTTTTATTTAGTTTTAAATATGAAATCACTTAAGTCTAATTAGCCTTTGAGCATCCTAAAGATTGCCATTGTTTTTCTGCTAGAGCCACACTGGCCAGTAGGACTTCCTGTGCTGATAGGCATGTTTACCTGCTCTTTCCTCTTAGAGAACTGCTAGCTTCATGGGAAATTGAGTATTGAAATGAAGCTGGTATAACCGAGGGACTTACTTTTTAGTTTTAAGTTGTTTTATTGGATTTAAATTTAAAATTCAGCAGCCATGGGTTGCTAGTGGCTGCTGTATGATACAGAGAATCTCTGGAGTCTTTCCAGTAGAGCTTGGTTACTTCATCTGAAAGACCATTTTCTCTTTGCTAAGCCCAGGTTAAACCTTCAGTGTCCTGTATATCTGTGTCCCTATGGGGCAGGGAACTTTAACTTCAAAGTCAAGGTTTCCTGAAGTGGTTTCTCTGGACTTCCTGTTCTTAGGGGAATGAGCACCTACCTCAGCATAGGGAAGCAGGACTCAAGGTGGCTTTCTGCAAACATAAAATTGAAAAGTCACGAATGATTTCATTCTGCTATTTTCACACTTGCTTTAATATGAAAATAAATAATGACCAGTGAAATTACTTAATAATCATCTCCCCACCACAATTTTCACCCCACTCCAAGCTGAACAAAACAGATTTAGTGTAATTCCAGGACAATATCTGTGTCTGTTCTTCACCCTGCCTTTGGAGAAGGGAAAGTTTGGTTTGAGAAGCAATGGTGTAAGAGGTGGATTGTAGCAGTTGAGCTACACAGCGAGTGCAGGTAACATCCGGGTTTTTTACAGGCCACACAGAGGGAAGGAAATAATAGTGAGTATTAACTGCTATTTCTTCTCGCTGTTAGAGCCCCTCATTGGATTGCTGGAGATTTGCTCCAGGCCTCCTGGGTGTCTCCTGCTCTCCCTGTAGTGTGGTGCTGATGCAGGATTAGATGGTTGGGCTTATGTGTGCGGAGCCTGCTGGGTGTAAATGTGTTTGGGAGTTGTAATTTGAACAGGAGAGGAGAATCCCAGGCTGTGGTGGAATCTGTGTCTTACTGTAATGGGATTCAACATTGGGGCTCTTGTTCTTCATTGTTCCAACAGTGGATTTAGCCTGAAATTCTCTTCCTTGGAGTAGGGGAATAGGACTTTTAATGACTTTTTAATAATACAGCTGGACACATTGCAATGTCCAGAGTTGTGCAAAAGGATGTGAAGCAAAGAACTGATTTCCCACTGTGCATTGTTGCTTCGTGTGCACAATGTAGTAATTGGAATGTCAGAATGTTGGTTTGTTTCCCATTCAGGGAGAAATGTCAAGCCTGTCCGTTTCCATAGGAAAGTTATTCTTGTTTTCTCACCTTTAATAGCACTATTCTATTTCAGATGTTAATGGTAAATTACCTAAAGTTAAATTAGAATTGTAACATAAGAGGATTATAGGCAGTCTCCCCTTCCCTCCTGGAACTGTATACCTTTTATGAAGGAAAAGGAAAAGAGAAGAAAAGCTCGTGGGAGAATCAGTGAAGAGGCTCAGGTTCAGGGCTGAGGCCAAGTAAGTAACAGCCCCTTTCCTTTATTTATACACTGGCCAAGGTCTTTTCTTATAAGCAAGACCTTGAAGCAGGGCAGCAAAACTGTATTTCTACAGTGACTCAGAGTCCTCACTCACTGCTTTCCTCTGTGTGGCCCTTTGTCCCCTCTTTGCTGTCCCTTCCTACACAATGGGCAGCCTTCTCCGTACACTTCTCAGGCTGTTCTTGCCCTATATTTCTTTTCCCCATCAGGATGTCTACTTTTACTGAGTGGAGAAAGGAAAAGCACAAATAAGAAAATCAGAGTCTTCTTTAGTCCTTGAACTTCAAGTTCATATTGAGGATCTGAAATATTTGGATGTTTCAGTGGATTTTTTTTTTTTTTTTCAAATACCACGTCCAGTTTTGAATGCAGCTCCTGGGTCATTGCCTTATTTATTTATTTATTTATTTACTTATTTACTTATTTATTTATTTATTTATTTATTTATTTATTTATTTATACATACATACATACATACATACATACATACATACATACATACATACATACTGGGGATTGAACTCAGAACTTTGTGT